ACCAACACTAGTTCAGCCTCTTCTTTGTTACCAGCAAGAAATACTAACAAAATATTATTTTGTAGAAAGCCTTAATACTCACAAACCCCACTAACGGGATTGTCACTGTATAATATATCTCAACTCTCATCACAATATAATGTTTTACTATAATACAGATTATTACAGGTCAGTTATGGCTACACCTTATTGCATCAAATAACAAGTATAGTGTGTTCTCCGTTATACATGTATTTCATGATATACATGATCACACTTAGGACATCGTTTTATTTCAGGATGAAATGGCTACATCGTACCCACTGTTTTTTTAGCATACTTAAAATGGCTTCATTGTAACTTCTTTTATATCACATAATTACCTGATTAGAACGGCTTTATATAACCACTGTTTTATTACGGGATCATGCCGATTACACTGTACCAACCTTTTTGTTTGTTTACTTTTTACATTATAAAAATGGCTTAATTGCACCTAATATTTTATTTCATGATCATGATGGCAACATTGTACCCATAGCTTTTTTTTTTTTTAATATTTTAACATTTTAACGACGGCTCAATTAAATGCATGGCTACATTGAACCCAGTGTATTGTAAAATCGTAAACGCGATACATTGTATTAACTGTTTTATTAAATTATTAGCATAACTACATTTTACAGACTTTCCTATTTCATTCATTTAATAGGAACATTGCGTTTCTGTGTTATAATATGATATACAGTCTCCCAAAGCACCTTTCTATGTACTTTATCAATCTTGTGGTTAGATGCAACGGAAATTTACACAACGATGTATAATGTCCATATATCCTCAATCATCCTTAATCCAGAACAGACGATATAGAGATAATGTCACAGACTGAACCATCTTTGTGCCGAGTAAACTGATTAAATTGTATAATCACTCCGTTTACCTAGTACAAACATATGCTACCCTACATAAGCCGGAGAAATGACATGTATACATTACTATTAGGTAATACTTTTAGTAAAATGTGATTTACCCCTTAAATACATTCTAATTAAAAAGAAGAAAAACTAAACTGCAATACCACGAGGAGTGTGTTCATTTTTCACTTACACTATTCCGTCTTTGCGTATTGCAGAGTTATCTTCTCTTGGCAGCAGGTATTGATTGTTACGTCATTGGTTTGTGTGAGAAAATTACGTCGTTTTCTCAAAAATTGATGACGTTACTCTCATAAATAAGTGACGTAACAATCAATACCTGCTCCCAAGAGAAGATAACTCTGCGTATTGCTCCCAAGAGAAGATAACTCTGCGATACGCAAAGACGGAATACCATACTGTAGATACATCAAGGATCACTGCTTTGGATTCATGAAAAAAAATGCTCAAATAAATTCTTATGTTGTCTGTACTCTTCCACGTAGCGATGTCACATATATTTAAATACGATCTATAAGGACTTTCATGGATCTAGATCATTCTAATGAGTGTCATTTGTTGCGCAGACAATGGCATGCCTTCCGTATTCTTGTGATTTATAATATCCTTACTTTTCATTCGTTTTCTCATTGTTATGCGGTTGTTGTTTTTTCGTTGTCCTTATTTGCTGACGATGTTGTAGATTTATTTTCTTCTTAGTTTATGCAACGCGTAAGATAGTTTCATCATCACTGCAGATGACCCTACATATCGTAAATTGTAGGGCAGTGTTCCAAAATAATTAGGTACTGTTTTGGCAAGTTGTATCTCTTTATCTCGGTCACTGTTATCACATACTAAAATACAAATGTTTCTTGACAATATGCGGGAGTTATTTAGGGATTGCCAGTGGCAGTAAATAACGGCCATGTTGAGGGTAGTTGGTGCTGTGGTCATACACGTAATACTTTACAGCGCTGCAACCGGGCACACTAACAACATTCCTTGGAATATTGCATCCTTCTTCTGACAAGTAACATGAGCAAAAATGCTTTTATAGGAGAACAACCAATACTTTAATTACTTTCACCTGAACACTGCTCGGCTGGAAAAGGAAGATGTGACTACATCTCATAACATCCCAGTGACATACTTCAATGGCCACACTTCGACAAAATCAACCCTACCTTTGCAGTTAAATGTGACATCCGAGTAAAGTCCTTTGGTAGTGAACAACCCGGTTAAGTTTCAGGCTTGTAATTAACAGCCTGATAAAATATATGGACGTGCAATTGACAGCCCGGTAAAGCAGGGGGATGTGCAAGTTACAGCCCGGTAAAGCCACGTTATATGTAATGTGCAGCCCGATAAAGTCCAAGGCTTGTAATGCAAAGCCCCGTTGAATGAAACAATTTTGTTTGTAAAGCCCAGTAAAGTCAAAGATTTGTAATGTAAAACATCAGGGAATGAGATGCGCAACAAGGTAAACTTCAGAGTATGAGATGTACAACCAAGTAAAACTCCAGGGTATGAGATGTACAACCAAGGAATACTCCAGGGCATGAGATGTACAACCAAGGACAACTCCAGGGCATGAGATGTACAACCAAGGAATACTCCAGGGCATGAGATGTACAACCAAGGACAACTCCAGGGCATGAGATGTACAACCAAGGACAACTCCAGGGTATGAGATGTACAACCAAGGAATACTCCAGGGTATTATGTGCACAACCAAGGACAACTCCAGGATATGAGATGTACAACCAAAGAAAACTCCAGGGTATGAGATGTACAACTAAATAAAACCTCAGGGTATGAGATTATAAACCGGTAAAATCAAAGGATATGAGATACATGTATATAGCCCAATAAAGACCCGGGGTACGGCATGTATAGCCCGGTAAAGTCCCGGGGTACGGCATGTATAGCCCGGTAAAGTCCCGGGGTACGGCATGTATAGCCCGGTAAAGTCCAGGGGAATGAAATGTATAGCCCGGGAGAATGTTAAAGGGGTAAATCAGTTTCCTGTTCCACCTTGTTGTATTAGTTAATTTAAAGATAATTGATATTAAAGACGATTTCATCCGCGCCAACAAGTGGCCCGTATGGCGACATGATTAACAAGTATGTTATTGATATCCTACAACATAAGAGTTTTAACACGTCAAATACTTATCTGAATGCGGTATGATTTCCGTTTTACTTAATTGTATACACCTCTATTTCACTTACTTTTATATAGTGTATGCCTTGTAAACATCTTATTTTACTCAGTTGTTTACAGTATTATATTTGTAACCTACATTTTACTTTCTCAAATTTTTGCCAACAGTACGTGACCTAATACAATAACACCGTGTTCGTGTAGTACGAGGGTAAGTGTGACATAGCTTTATTGACATCTGAGTTAAGTGGTAGTTTAGAAAGTGATATAACAGATATCATCGCAGAAATAGTCGTTGATTCATTGATTGCAATAAGTGATCTATCATAAATCATGTGTCACCATTGGACCGTGTTCAGTAGTTGTAATTATTCACAACCAACGATGTTACACATCGATATAAATCTAATAAATACTAGTTGCTTGGTTCAGTTACTTTGTCATCAATAGCGTTTGATCCTCAGCAGGGCTACAGTAAGGCTGCTTGTAAGTAAGATAGCTCAATTGAACTATATTTAAGTGGGTCACACGCTTTGTCAGGGACATTGTGAAACGTTTTACGCCAGATGACCTTGCAGACAGCCGTTTAAAGGATCTCCTAACTATGGGACACACAAAGCATCACAGACACCCTAAGAAGGATAGTATGACTTGCACATATGGCTTGCATAATTGACCAGATTATAGCTGATATCATAAAAACAACTGAGCTTTTGCTGATGCTTTTTACGTATTTACGGATATATACAAAACGTCTTATTTATATTTGAATTAACAAAAACATATATAAACTGTTGTTTGGATGTGTGTGGAAGTAAGTGTGAACTGTGCCACAGAAGATCTTCGTAAGTTAACATGGAATATTTAGTGTGTGAAAAAGCATTAATGCTTTTCATTATTTTAAGGATAGCTGATAAGGAGTTAGTGTTATACTTAAGATAGTACATTAGCTAAAGGATTAACGCTGCAAGAATCTGATAAATTGCTTGGGAAACAGTATTTGTTTTGTATTAGCTGTGAAGCTGATCATACATTATATATCAATGTACTCACTTAATAATTGTCTTTCACATCCTTCAAATCTACGGAACGAATGGACATAACAGTATACATATAAGCAATCTCTTCACTAAACAAAACTGTACTGATCTATACTAACATCCTTCAAGACAAAGGGATCAGATATACTAAATTAAATTTACTTATCCTGCGAAACAGTTTGATCAACTCAGTTAAAATCTACACATTCTTCAAAACAACGGAATCAAATGAAATCAAACCAATACATCCTTCAGAACAGAAGAACACCAGACTACCATCTGCATGCTACATGTAACAGTTTTGAAATCATACATGTATTAAACGTTGCTATGATCGGCATTCAGAATTACATTTACGCTAGCGCGGAAGTATTTGTCAGTTCATTGATCAAAAATTGATTATCATAAAATACGTTAAATGTGAAGTTATGCCATCGATAAGACACGTGAATAAGAATATGGTTAGTCAGATCATCGATTGTCCATACACCAACAAAAAGTCTAACGAGTGACTCTCTTACTCAACACGCTGTACATGTGCCTGCTACCCATTACCCTAATAAACACTGTAAGCATTCTAGCGTCATTGGTATATTAAGCCTAGCTCGTTCATTCACCATGTAACGTCACGAACACCATGCAATATTAAACCTGTATTGATACTTTTCACTTGTTATAAACTTTGTATGATATCACACATATCATCGTCAATTTTTTAAAGAGTGTCTTTCTTTGTAAAAACAAAACAGGCTTAACATTCAAGTCACAAAGTAATGTGTTAAGTTATAAACAAGTTATTTACACTTGCTAATCAGCGACATCAAAATTTGTTAGAACGCAAGGAATACACAGTGCAGCAAAATAATAGAAATGACAGGATTGAGTAACTCATATACTCACCTCGGCTTCTAATACGTTCCTCACCATATTGGTATTTTTTCTAAGTCGTATGAAATTGACCTGATCCCGTTGATCGCGATACTGGAAGAACCTTTCTGCCCCTACCCGGTATGACAGTAAGACGATATGCAGAACGGTTAAAGTTTGCAGTAACAACACACTCGCCATCATCCCGGTCCCGTGTGAATGTTGAAGGCCGTGACCAGCCACTGTACCCGAGAAGTAATCCTGTCACAAACACGATTCACTACACACTCCGATGTTACGGCGACACCCTGGTACCCGCGACATAGCGCGTGCAGCAGTTCCAGCTCGCCATGTGGGTGGGGAGCGTCGTATCCCCTCACTCAACAAATTCACACTGCAGATTGACTGGAGTTTGGTGCTGCTTCAAAAGATGAATTCAAAACCAAGATTTCTCTATAAGAAATATATAACAATTTAATAATACAGCTATCACCTCCTCTCCTTTCCCCGCTCCAGGTAGGGGTGAGGAAACATGTTTCAGTAGCTGGCTATGTACACGGTACCCCCGTGATATTATAGTCAAAGTGACCACGTGGGTATCAATGAGTTACACCCGTTGTTTTAGCAGTAATCATCCGTGTATATATCCTCTATAGAATTATTTCCATTTGTCGGTTGTAAATAATAAATCCAATAGCACTATTAACATTTTCCTTGGTCAAGTCGTGGACTAACAGAAGCTGTTACTGCCTTCTTCCTGAAATTAGAGTAAGAATGTGTCAATTACAACTCGGACTGGATGGCAAGAGGAAATCAACCACATATGGGCGGATCTGCATGCATAATGATACTCAAGTCAAGAGAAAACTGAACTCGATAACAATAATGTAGAAATTAATATCAACTATACAGCGTGCATAGCTGTCTCGTGGAAATGACATTGTCAAACAATATTATGTTCAAGGCTTTCCTCACAGTCGGGCAGACGAAACGTATACATATACATATCTATGCTAGTAATGCTAGGTGGGAGCACATGTCTCCTATTATACAAACATCCACCTCCTCATCATAAAAAGTCTATTGCAAAGTTAGACATACGAGTATACGTAGTTCCGTCATGGGTCAATTCATGATGTTTCACCATTGTGATAGCAAGTGAAAGTGTAATGTTAAAATGGAAAGGATATTTAGAAAGTAGAGGGTTCATCTCGACTCTGCCCTGAATTGCACGCAGCCTGTCGGAGTGGCTGTAACCACTTTACAGTTCGAATGAGTAATAACGCGGTTTGGGAGGGCCAGCATCTGATTGACAGATCGTCCTGGCTCTTCTCCACGTGGAATCTCGTTGCATAGTTTGCAATGTTTGGTCTGCTGCAAACATTTAACACAAACCGCACTCAAGTTTGGATCAACTGAGAAAGCTTCTACATAGAACTAACGAGAGAGAACACGGTGTAGCCTGGGTATGCCTATACCAACAAACCTCCACACAGAGGCTTCCCAGACCACACACTATAACAGGTACCGTACACCGTCATAGACAGCCTTAACGAAACGTCTATTTGTATATTCTGCTTACATTTGCCTGTTTGCTTGTCAAAGAAACTCCCATACATTCGTCACCACTGCTTTGAAAGATTCTTCTAAACAATATAGCAGAGAGTTGAAGGAATTATCTACCGCTTACGTCTTTGTAAAGACATTGACGCTACATATGGTTTATTCAAGTCACTGTCTGATAACATTCAACTGTGCTACTATAACCAATCTGTATGCTTTGGGGGCAAAAGGAAATGACCCATTCTGTCGTTTAAATATATATACCAATTAAAAACATTTTAAACTAAATTAGAAAGATTACATCTCACAAATAAGATAAATTTTGCTCCTCAGAAAGCTTATCATACTTTAGCAGCACCGACTTGCTTAAATACTTTTCTCTTGACAAACCCCGTACGGGTCGAAAAATAAATAAAGCCATTTTTTTGTTTCGGTTCTGACCAACATACTAAACGTGAACGCGATTGTTATGACTTGGGCCGACCGCGTGTAAAGTGATATACACGGACCCTAGGTGTCTCTCCACTCGTCAGAGAAACAGCGGCGCAACCATAAAGAAAACAAAAGTGGCTGCCGCAGCTAGACGTCTGGAATCCACACAGCCACCGGACCTTGACCTTGGGACAAAACTCCCTTACCATAGCCTATGTTTTATTCCCATCCCGGCAGGTGCACTACAGTAATCTCTTTCAACAAGCAGAGTGCATGTAGTTGCAGGATGTATGTCGTAATGTTTTCAAGTTCAACATGTGCACAATTAATGCAATATCACCTTGAATGTTTATAGTTTGATTAGAAACAGACTGATCAATAGAATGTATCTTCTCCTGACTTATAACACGTTTTCATACCGTTATTTCTCTACATGTACTGATACTGTATTATGTTGGAAATGTCAGCAAACGAAGGCACTGAAAAATACTTCCATTGACGAAACGATCGATTTGAAACACCCTCACGTAGTGTAAATGAATATGACAGCTTAGTGATGTTTTAAATTCTGCCTGGTCGTCACAATGCAAACATGGGTTATTAATGTAAAGGGGCATAACTCTGCTAGTATTGTACACGGCGAGGACGTTCACGACATCATAACTGTATCTTCAACCAAAAGCTCTAATTACGGTCACCAAGGGTGTCTTCATTGACAGATTAATCATGTTTATTCGCGCCGGGAAGTGAAAAAATAAATATTTGTTATAATTAATGTGTTTAACGTTTACATATTAATTGCTAAAACAAATCAAAAACTGACTTAACTTCGTAGACATTCAAGAAGCAATAATACACAAAACTAAGATAAAGACAGATAAACATCAATCTAATAAAGTTATGGTTGCTTTACTTATGAAAAGTAACACAATCTAGTTTATCTACATCTTACCTTAACAATACAAACTGGTCCCATGTGATTCTCTTTTATTTAAGCGTAAGTGCGATTTTCTTTTCATTCCTACACCAATATGTTTTAGTGTATATGAATATGTATATGTAATGGTATTAGTACATCAAAATAGGATGCTTTATAACTACAACATCCAACACTTACAATGATAGTTTTACTACAACATAAACTATTAAAGAACATAAATATATTACTATAGCAAATAGAGACTTGACTTAATACCACACCAGAACTCCATATATTTGATATACATACACTATGACACTTAACGGAGATATATGAATATAGAGTATATATTTTTATAAACTCCCATGTCAGATGATAATTATAATAATTCGAGATTCTTATATACCGCTTTATCGCAACGTATTTATTAGGTCGTCTTAAAGCGGTTCACAAATTATCATCCGTGGTTGTAGGGCCTTTGCAATCAGCCAATATCTGTCTCAACTCCCTGGGAAGCATGCAGCCGGTGCTGCCATTTCGGTGCTCACGGCTAGCATTTAACAATTCTAGCACTGCCCAACCACGTACTCATTAACAGCTGAGTAGACTGCAACAAGCGGAGTAAAGCATCTTGCTCAACGATACAACACAGTGCCGGGACGTGACTCGAACCCGCAACCATTCTGCCACGAACCCGGCGTCCTACTTCTAGAATACAGCGCCTCCAAAAGGGGGTACATATACTCAATACTAGTATTTTTCTTCTTAACTAAAAAATGCAGGCGAATATAACTAACACGTATTACCGAAACAAAAATAGACATCCTATTATTACCATACGTCGAGAAATTAAAAAAGTAGTTATCAAGTTTTGTCAAACCTAATGCAGCTACGCTTTACTAAAATAAAAATTAAAAAAAATAAAATATCTGCTGTTAATATCGCTGATATTAACAGCAGATATTTCCCTTGTTGCCATATAGTATGCTACACTGAACTCAACTGTTGCGTCTGTACACCATTTGATGTACGGCTCCAGTAGCTCAATCAATGTATTACTTTCAACACATATACTTCATAAGATATTTAAAAACATAAACATTCACTTAACATTGACATCCGAATGATCCTGATGTAGTTATGAATACTTAACATTATATATACATAAAACACGTCTAAGTTGAATTGCTCCAAATTAAGTCGCTTTTTATTCAATTTTAATTCTACCCACTTGATATTTAACCCACTAACTACATAAATTAACCTGTAATTCAAGCGTTCAAGTTGTTATGCTCCCGACATCATTTATCAAAACTTAAAGTTACTACAGGAAGCACCTATCATGTAGGAATGAAAAATTCCGCTACATGTTGTGAAGGGATTGACTGCGAAAACTGGGAGCGTAACAGAGAGAAACAGATTGGACCGATATACTGACTTGTTGATGAATATTAATGTAATCACTCTGATAGTGGTAGCATGGCTTGATATCCAACGCTACGTCGGACCGGTATCACTTATACTGTCAACTTTTCAGATTGGAAACTATACGATAAAAATGTATCCATCGTTTTTGAATACGGACTAATGCTTATGAAATGTGTAAATATCTCTGAACATATCTCAATTGACACTATTTTACTCGACTTTATATACAGAAAACGTGTACTTTGCACAGAGATTGGGATTATAAACCTATCAAATGGTACGTTATTCAAATCTAATAAACGCTGATCAAAAGGATAATTTCAAATAACGCTAAAATGTAATGTATACGTCCCTACAAAAAGTTGACATGTGTGCGTTTAAGTATGATAGATGCAAAACTGTCTATGGCATAACACATCATCAAGGTGTTAAATTAAATCAGAAATGATACTTAATTGAAATTAGGAAGAGCCAAAAGCTCTATGTAAGAGAAGCAAAATGACCTTGTACTAGTGCGTTCCTTATGATGCACAGTAGAAGCTGCAGGTTAGCCCACCTTCCCCTAACCGCAGGCTGCTACCATCGTTTATGATATACTTTACTCGGGAGATTTTCCGGGGGAAATGCTTTATTTTCATGATGATTCTTTGGTGATATAAAATAATTAGTGAAATGTACAGGAAGGGTAAGTGATGTTGGGAGAGGTAAAGCGTGATCTTCAAAGGTACATGTCTTCTGTAAATTAGGCTAACAAGCTTACGTACAATGTCTACGATCTGTGTGAAGCGACACCGAAAAGGGCATATTTTATGTCGGTGTGGGGAAAAGGGTATCTCTTATACTCGATGTTCTTCCCTAAATCTGATGTCATAGTCTTAGTGGCAATGATGCGTTAATGCATAACATAGTAATAAATGTTCTTGTGGTTAATATTTGTGAGACATTTTTAATCATGATTACTTCTGTTAAATAGGTAACTCCTCTTTTCTTACTATATCGGCCGTTTTATTCTTTATTTGAGATACAGTAACACGGCAGCATATCGTTAAATGCATAATGACATTATTTAAAGAAAAAACTGTCTGGAATTAAAAATCAACCAGAAATTATAATGTGTATGTATATTCCAAATATACATTGATACCAGGGAACCCAAACCATAAATTCACAAGTATGTTTAAAAGAGAGTTTCACCAACAACATTAAACCACATTACCAAGTGTCTAAGCTTATCCCAACAAACAGCTCCTCTCGGCCTCTCAGTCATTGCATGCAATGTATGTCACGTGACCGCCAGGTAAAACACGATCAATAGGTTATAATGTTGAACCATTATATAGTTTTTTTAATGATCATTGAATTATATAGGGAAAATAAAAGTGGCCCCAGGTCATGTACTGGATGGCACATGTAGT